AAAATTAATGATTTTGATTTTGATTCCTCTATTTTTTTTTTTTTTTTGTCTTTCATCCTTCTAAAATTTATAAACATTGTTTTTAGTCCTTGAAAAATAAGAATTTTGATTTTGATTCCTGTGAAATACTTTTTTTTAATTTTCATCCCTCTAAAATCTAAATCAACCATTTTTAGTTCCTAATGATCATTTAAGATAGATAAATAACATTTATTTTAAAAACTTATAAATTTTTTTAGAGATATTAAATATCAATATATTATCGGTAATAGTTGTAAGTATCACTTAAAATAGTTACTTAACTTTTTAATAAATAAAAAATATTTAAAAATGCATGCATAAAAATAGAAACTAAAAATAATAATTTTAATTTTATAAGAATAAAAAACAAAGAAAAAAATTATAGCAACTAAAATCAAAACTTACAAATCAATAACACACATGTGTAAACATATCATTTTTCAGTAGTTGCAAGAGTATTATCTCAAACAGTTTTTGTAGTATTAAATTTGGTCATCTTAGAATATGTTTAGAAATCGTTTGTGTTGATATAAATTGAAAAATCCCATTTTTCAACGCATAAAAATACAAAGCAAATTTTTGTTATTTTTGGTTGAATTTACATTTTTGGGAGGCTCTAAAAGCCAACACGAACACACTTAGAGCGTGTTTGCATTCACGTCCAAAACATGAAAAATCACGTTTAACGTGGAAGCTACACGTTGTAACTTCCACGTTAAACGTGATTTTTCATATTTTGGACGTGAATACAAACACGTACTTAGAGTATGTTTGGTTACTAGTTTAAAATCACATTCAACGAAAAATCATACGTTCCAATGCAAAAAAAAAATAAAAACTTAAATGTAGCTTTTTTTCAACCTTAATTGAGTTAAACTCAACTAGTTTCCAAACACACCCTTAATCATTGGGCATATTTAGTTTTTCAACACATTACAAGATTGTATTTTGCCATAGGTTCCAAAAGATTCGAATATTACATGTTTGTATTTAATTAATGTTTTCACATCATATATTTATGGACACATTAAGAACACAGTAGTTTTATATATTTGTAACTAGTAGAGATGAGCGTTTCTCGGGCTGCGTATCTTGCAAGATGAAGGGGGTAGCTTAACATCACAGCAAAAATAAATAAAAGAGAAACAGATTAACCTTCATCAAATATTTACTTGTGTAGAATGAAGTTACAATATTTGTTGAGGGGATAGACTAGTACTCGAAGAATAATTCACTCTTATTTTAAAGTCGTGTATTGAATTCATATTGCAAAGCACTGCCACAAAAACTAGTGCTGGAAATGAATTTCATAATTTGGCTAAAAAAAAATAACCAATCCAATTTGTAACACATTCTTTATTATTGACCAAAATCTATCATAAAATCACAAAATTGTCTCACTTTTTATTTAATAAACTTCACTTATAAATTTGTAGTTCCAAGTATATTTCAACAAAGTTTTATAAGGGGACATTATTTACTTATCATATGCATGTCATGATGTCACATGTTTGTCATATATCCTAGTGGATGCTCCTGTTCCACTTGTTGCTCTATCATTTTCATGCAAAGGGAATGATATTACTGAGTCGACAAGACAAAACTCAATGGAATGAATCTATGCATACACATATGAGGAATGTTCATGATATTGTTAACAAATTTAACACATGTCGAGATCCAGACCCTTATTGGTTGTTGGCACAATTGATATCAAGCACAGGTCTAATTTGGTTGAATATCTTCAGTTAACTTACTTGGGTATCAACTTTCAGTATGTCACACACTCACATGACTTCTTAGTCTGTCATGGAAAAACACTGTTATCTGCACAAATCAAGTGATTTAACATTTTCATGACAACAAAGCACATATATTTGCTAAAAAAGAGGTATATATGCCATTTTGATATTCAGAAAATCATCTGAGAAAGTTCCATCATTCAATGTGATGGATAGGACTAAAAAGAGAAAGAATCAAGTATATAGTATATAAATAGTTTGCTGCATTTAGCATGTCATCGACAACTATTGCATGGTATACAACCCAAACAACAAAGGGTCACAAAAAGTCACCTACTTCTACTAGTCCATTATGTTGGGATACAAACAAGTTTCACATCGATAAAATATGATAAAAAATAATAAATTATATAGCATAAACATACATCAATAATTGAGAGGTCTTTTGGGTGATGACCAAAAGTAAAACCGTGAGGACTTAAGCCCAAAACGGATAATATCTCATCATTGTAGAGTATGTTTATGTAATAACCCTATAAAAATAACCCTTATAAAATATTCCCTCAGACAAATACAAAAAAAATAACCCTATCAGTCAGAGCCGTAGGTTGGATTCGGTGACAACCAATAATCCTTACAAAAAAAGTATGATAAAAAATAACAACTTATATAACATAAACATATTTCAATGATTGAGAGGCCTTTTGAATGATGACCAAAAACAAAACCGTGAGAACTTAGGCCCAAAACGGGCAATATCTCATCATTGTGGAGTATGTTTGTGTAATAACTCTATAAAAATATCGCTCATAAAAACAAGTCCCACATCGATAAAATATGATAAAAAATAACAACTTATATAAACATACTTCAATGATTGAGATACCTTTTGGGTGATGACCAAAAACAAAACCGTAAGGACTTAGGCCCAAAACGGACAATATCTCATCATTGTAGAGTATGTTTGTGTAATAACTCTATAAAAATAACCCTTATAAAATATCTCCTCAGACAAATACCAAAAAAATAACCCCATCAATAGTATCAGAGCCGGTGACAACCAATAACCCTTACAAAAAAAATGATAATGATAATATGATATATAAAGACAGATTCCGCTCATGAAAGGTTAGGTCTCTTGTTTGAGGGGAGGATTGTTGGGATACAAACAAGTCCCACATCGATAAAATATGATAAAAAATAACAACTTATATAGCATAAACATACTTCAATGATTGAGAGGCCTTTTGAGTGATGACCAAAAATAAAACCGTGAAGGCTTAGGCCCAAAACGGACAATATCTCATCATTATGGAATATGTTTGTGTAATAACCCTATAAAAATAACCCTCATAAAATATCCCCTCAGACAAATATCAAAAAAATAATCCCATCACATTGTACAAAAGTTCCTCACCATAGTACCCATGATTTTCTTTTACCTCTAATACAAGTTTTATATTTATATATATATATATATAGGGTGTTTCGGTGATTAAGATTCTTTCTGTATATGTTCATTCCCTGCTATATATTGTCCAACAATGATCCTCAAGAATCTTCAAGTTCACCTAAAACCAGGCACCACCAGAGCAAAAATCACAAGTATAATTTTAGTCAGGATTGAGTTGTTAGTGGAGTTACTACTGCATCACCAAACAGTTTGGACCATTAAATTAACATATTACTTACGTTGGCTTTAGTCAGAGAATTAGTTTTTCAACACAAAATAAGATATCATCATGGTCATTAGATACCAAAGATTCAAAACATGACAAGTAAGAGACGCCTGAAAGCAAAAATTATTAGGCAATGCTTTCACTTGAATCAGGAAGCTAAGAAGAGTTTAAAACAATGAAAAGAATCATGGGAATCAAATATGTGCATTAGTAATGCAATTACAGGAAAAATACTTTACAAGTCACAAAATGGGGCAGTCCTGTATTAATTGCTTAAATGAGAATTGTTTTACATGTAATTTCAGCCAAACGAAATTCCACTGCATGTGTCAATATTTGCCAATCTTGACGAAATAATTTGATATACCGAATATACTATCATGCCTTTAGCTGCTCATGCCTTGCACAGAACATTCCAACTCATGTTCATGCACATCATGGCATAAATTTTTTACTTTTATCTACAAACTGAACCAGCCAAGAATTATAATTTATTACCTTCACAAACCTGTGCTGTCCAGCATACTGGCCAGTAATCACTAGGAACTTCAGCATGGTCATGTTCCTTACAAGATGAGCACATCACTTATCCTGTATCATCAGTATTCACATCAGACTAGATAGAAAATTGTAGCCAGAGCTGAAAAACATCATATACGGCAAGAATAAGGCAACCTTTTTCATGCCTGTTTAACTGGCAAAGTCACCCTAAAATTTGCATATATTGAATGCCATAACAACTCCAACATGTGCTTCAAACCAAGAAAATGTCCACAACTGTATACAGCGAGAATAAGGGAACCAGCTCTATCCAGTTCATTATGGTATAAAGTACTACAGGTTACAAAGAACTAAATCAAAATCACCAACATAAGAAAACCAGTTCTACTACTGTTCTGCTTGTTTACATTTCTGGATTGGTCCAGAAATGGAACTTTTCTCAAGGAATTGCATAAATGTAAAGGCCTATAACAAACTTAAATAGCTTTTCTTTTTTAAATAACTTTTGGCCTAAGTAATGGAAAGAAATAACGTACAAGGTATGTAAATGACGAGAATTATTAACTGAAAAAAAAAGGAGAGTGACAAATGTTTCAGCCATGGAAGCAATCGAAAAAGGAATGAAATGTCCATTGAAAATATCGTAGAGGCTGAAATAGCCAGCAGACAAACCAAAGAAAAGCTCATTTTTCCTTTATCGATTTGCAACTTCTAGTACAGTATAAACATATACTAATCTATCTATTTGTCACAAGGTTTGAATTACATTTATGCTATAAGCTATACTAAGTGTTATATGGATGAGTTCGGGTTTTGAAACCAAGTCAATTTCCTAACCCCCACAACAAGAAATGAAAAAGAAAACGGGGGGGGGGGGGGGGGGGGGG